CCGACATAGAGATTAAAAGCAGGGATTCTAGGACTGAGCAGCCTAGATTTTGATCAAAATCAAGTTTGTCTTGGAATAGTGACTGTCATAAAATATTTAGGACCTCTAATCACCATATTAATACAGCTTCCAAGGTTTCTTTCAAGTATTTCTAAATTCAAGTCTAAATTTGAATTGGATTTCAAACTGCTTCAGGCCCTCAATGGCCCTCCATACAAGGTCCCTCGTCTTCCACACTCCAGTCCTCCAGCTTCAACACTTAGCACTGCCAAATTGGTCCCAGAATTTGTATTACGTGGAAGCCCACTCCAATGCCCTAGATGTGATCCAGCCAGCCCCCCATCCTCACCTGTCTAGCCTGTGACCTCCTATTGGTCTTCCTTTTTTTTTTTTTTTTTTAATATATTTTTACTGCTTTCAGAAAGGAAGGGAGAGGGAGATAGAAACATCAATAATGAGAATCATTGATCTGCTGATGCCCCTTCCTGAGGATCCAGCCTGAAACCCTGCCATGTGCCCTGACCTGGAATTGAACCAGACCTCCTGGTTCAAAGGCCAATGCTCAATCACTGAGCCATACCAGCTGGGCTCTCACTGGTCTTTCAAAACCCAACTTGGACAGTGAATTTCCTGGTGAGCCTTCTTGGGTCCTCCATCCTACTCCACCTTCCTATGCTTCGTCATGGCAATTGACATCCTGAATTGTCATCTTTGATTTATTTTCTCCTTTTTACCCAAGAATCTTTGAGCTCCTCAAAGAGAGAAGGGACTGTATTTACTTCTTAGCAAGCAGATGGAGGCTTCATCGGGGCACAGGCCTGGTGAAGAGGTGGGTGAATTAGACTGATGGATGACAGTAGGCAGTCACAGTGAGAGATTTCCAAGCCTGCACCAATGGGTGGGTGGTGGGGAGACAGAGTTAGGGACTAGAAAAAAATTCAGGGGCAGAAGAAAGTGTCATTGGATGGATTTGGTGGCTGGAACCTGTGAATCACCCCAACCACTTGGAATAGGGGTGGCTTTTCACTTTATTTTTCATTCCATTGAGCTCCTATCTCCTTGTTATCTTGAGTCTGGGAGGGGATAAAGGAGACCAGACCATGTGATCTCAATAAACATCTATCTGAGGCAGAAGGATGAGAGGATGTGGGGGAAATGTGAGCCCATGTTCAGATGGATGCTTGTGTATTTGAAGAGGAGATGGGGGAGGCTGTGTAATTCCTCAGAGCAGGTGGCTAAGGGGGGTGGTCTCCAGAAACCTTTACAGCCCAGATGACAAAGGGAGAGGCAGAAGGGCACTGTGTGTGTGTGTGTGTGTGTGTGTGTGTGAAGGGGGGAAGCATAGGGAGTGTGTGGGGGGAGAGCATAAGAGTGTGGGGGGGGGGAGCATAGGGAGTGTGTGCACAGTGTGTGTGCATGTGTGTTGGTGTGCACCCCAGTGTGTTTGTGCTCACTATTCCTGTATGTGTCAAGAAATGCATCAGGCTGAAACCGGTTTGGCTCAGTGGTAGAGCGTCAGTCTGCGGACTGAAAGGTCCCAGGTTCGATTCCGGTCAAGGGCATGTACGTTGGTTGCGGGCACATCCCCGGCAAGGGGTGTGCAAGAGGCAGCTGGTCGATGTTTCTCTCTTATCAATATTTCCAGCTCTCAATCCCTCTCCCTTCCTTTCTGTAAAAAATCAATAAAATATATTTTTAAAAGAAAAGAAAAGAAAAGAAAAGAAGGAAGGAAGGAAGGAAGGAAGGAAGGAAGGAAGGAAGGAAGGAAGGAAGGAAGGAAGGAAGGAAGGAAGGAAGGAAGGAAGGAAGAAATGCATCAGGATCTGCACAAGTGGGCGCTTATGTGGGTCCCTAAGGGCAAGGGGCGGTGGGGCACAGCCCTAGAGCACCTAGGGTTTACATTTCTGTTAATTTGGGTACAGTCCTCATTGCACAGAGCGACCCTTCAGCATGCCTGTGGGCAATGGGGGAGCGTCATGTGGTTCATTTTCCTTTTGCAATACTGGGCCCCAGGGTCCACAACTCAGAACCAAGCTGTGTGCGTGTGCGTGTGCGTGTGTGTGTGTGTGTGCGCGCGCGCGCATGTGCGTGTGCGCGTGCGTGTGTGTGTGTGTGTGTGTGTGTGTGTGTGTGTGTGTCTGGAGAGAGCCGGACTGCACAAAGATTTCCTCTCCAGAGGAAAGCCTCGGGTCCATCCGAGCCCCAGACTCCAGCGGAGCAAACAACTCTCGGAGCCTGAGAGCAGAGGGCCCAGCGCAGAGGCAGGGCTTGCAGGCTCCTCCGAAAGGGCAGACGCCAGCCCTGCTGGCGTCGCCCCCACACCCGCCTGGGCCCCCCACATCAGGGCCGGCTAAACATGAGGAGGCTCCTGTCTCCAGGGCTGGAAGAGAGGCGCCCTCGTTAAAACTCAGATAAACAGTTTATCAGGAGATGAATGAGCCACCAGGCTCCAGAGTCGGCTCCCCTTCCCCAGCGTGGAGCCGGGCGGGGAGGGGGCCACGGGCGGAGCGAGCGGGAGCCAGGCTGGGGAAGGAACAGGGCTGGGCTGCTGGGCTGCTGGGCTGCGGGGCTGGAACCAGCGCCTTTCCTCCTTTTGGCCTTTAGCTCTGTCTCTGTTCCTGGAGCTGCATTTCACATTTCTTTCCCCATTTCCCCACCCCAGCCTAAGGTTGGGAGTTACCGGCCTCCCCTCTCCCTTCTTTCTCTCCTCCTTTCTGCACCCGCACCCCTCAAATGCCTATGCTAGTCAGAACTTCACTGTTTTAACTAGAATCCCATCACCAACAGGACACACACACACAATTGGAACGTATGGTGAAGCTGACCCAGCCGGTGTTCCCTGGTCCCCAGCAGGCCATGGGGCATCCATCACCCTCTGTCTGGCATAAGAAGTCCCCTCCACTCCCTCATCCTTCCACCAGTCAGGAGAGGAAAGTGGCGAGCCTTGTGGCTGACTTTTCCTCACTCTGCCAAGTTGGGTCAGGTTCAAAAAGTGCTACTTTGGGTATCTGTGAGGAAAAAAAAAAAAAACCCATCCGATTCAACTTTGATGAGACCTGAGAGACAGTCAGAATCAGAGGGTGGTGGTTTTCATGTGTCTGGGGTGATGCCAGGCCTAAAGGATGGCAGTTATCCTGTCTTCTCTGTGTCGGGGAGCACCAGAGAGGTAAGGTGTCTTGCCCAAGGTCACACAGCGGTAGGTTGCAGGTTTTCCAACGTCCAGCCTCATGTCCTTTGTAAATCACCCAGGCTGCCTCAAGTTTATGTTTCCAGAACAAAACAGAACAAAACAAAACAAAACAAAACAAAAAAGAACAAAAAAGAAAAGAAAAAGGAAAAAAAGGCAGGGAGAGTGTTGAATTGCTCTTAGAATCAGCATAAAAGCATCCTGGGTCCTCTTGCCTTGACCTGGAGTTGTCGAAGCAGTTGTTCAGAGGAGTGTTTCCATGTCCCTTGCCCAGAGCATTTACAGGGAGAGGGACAGAAATCCTGGGATAAGGACACTCACCGGGTTCACTAGACTCTTCCTACACAGGCTGCCAAGGCCCAAGCCCCTAGCCCATCTCCCCTAAAGTCCAAACAGCCCCCCACAGCGAGGGCCTGAACCGAAAGCTGAGCTGATAGCCATCCTTCCCTTGGTCCATCTCCCACCCCACAGCTCCCTTTTGAAGAAATACAGCCCTCTTTGTCCTGCTTGTCAAGCTCCCTCTTCAATGGAGCCGCAGAAGCGTTGAAATGGGTCGGCTGTTGAGTCCCCCCAAGAAATGCCAGTGCCCCTCCCCCAAACCCGAGGGCCCGCAGAGGTGGGGAACAGTTCAGCTGCCGATGCAGAGTGGACAGAAAGCAGGCCCGGAGGTGTGGCAGTTGATTTCAACAGCACCCCAGCCCCTCCAGGCCTCTGTGGCCTGGGCCTGAGACGGTGGTTGGCCTGTTGAGGGCAGTGAGGTCCCCTGAAGAACTAACAGTTGCTGAAAGACTGCTGCCCGCTCTACCCTCTGCTCCGGGTGCTGAGCTGTGCTGAGCTAAACATGCCCTCCCTCCCCTTTCCAGAGCACTGTTCTGAGAGGAGTGTGCCAATCCCTTCGGACAAATGAGGAAATGGGACGTTGGAGTTAAGATGCTGCTGCTACGCAGGTAACCCAGCTGGGGACTGGCAGGGCCAACATTCCCACTGAGAGCCACGGGACCCAGAGGTGGTCTTTGTGTTGAATTTCCCTGATTGTGGTATTTCCTCCTCCATCCAGATCTTCTGTATCCAGATCCTTGTATCCTTGATACAGTGTTCCCATCTGTTACTCCGGGGTCAGGGAGGAAGGGGTGCCTGCTCCTTACCCTCCTCCTCCTCCTTGCCTGGGACCTGCACCCTGAGTGGCTGAGCTGCACGCAGACTCAAATTGTTCATCTCCTACTCTCCCTACGCAGATACATCTACCCTTTTTCTTCATGAGGCCCAGCTGAAGCTCAGCTCTACCATTAGTATTACTTTTCATATTAGTAATGTTAGTACTACTTTGTCTCTGCTAACAGTATCCCCCAATTCACCCAGTACCTAAGTATAATGGGCATAGATAGAGTGGGGGACCGACAGTAAGCTCCCCCAAGTGGGCCATCTCAGAACCCCACAGTGAAAAAGGGTAAGTGCAGTATGAAAATGGTATAGCTTTTATAATGTTTTGACTTTGGGAGGGTCATCATAATGTATTATCAAATTTCCAACAGCATTCGGAGCATAGCATGACACTGTAATATTTCTCAAAAGTGGGCATGGGTTCTTCAAAGGTTGTGAAACACTTGTAGTCTACACTGTTAAGAGAATAGACTTTTTTCCTGGCGCTTTTTTAATGTTTTCTTCGTGTCTTGTCATATTCCCCTTAACTAAACTACAACAGTCATGGAGGGCGGTGATTGACAGTGAGTTCTTTCTTCTTTGTGTTTTTCTCCTTGGTCTTCACCCCATGGACATTCTATAAACAGATTACCCAAACTTTTGTCTAACATGGTTTGTTTTTCATCCCCCAAGGGGGGGCTTTTTTATTCTGTTCAGTCAAATCTAGCCAACCTAAATAAAGGGCTGAAGGATCTGGGTTGGTTTTCAAACAAGAATGGGTGATTTGCAGTAGGAAGGAGAGAGAGGAGACTGATGGACCAGAGACCAGCACAATAAAACATCCCTAATTGGAACCTACCATCTCAAGAGGGCTGGGCTAGACGTTAGCCTTTGAACTCGTTACTGAAAAATTATTTTCTTTAGTGAATTCACGGCAGTGACAAAATTGCTCTGGAACATTTAATCTTCCTAAGAAAACAAACCAGTGCCGCCCCCTAAAGCACATCAAAAAAGAAAGGAGCATTGTGTAAGCGCCTACTATGCTCCCATTTGCAGTCACACGTTATTTCAGAATCCTCTCAATTCAAACAACCAACGAGGTGTTCATATTTCCATCAAAGCGAGATTTCCTTCTAAGGCAGTACCTTCATAATCTAATTCTAGATAGTGTCTAGACGTGAACGTTTAAGAGAATGTTTTCAGCTGAAACTGGCCAAACCTCCCAACTGCTGAAGTTTTGCAGAAAGACTGTGAAACAATGTGTTTTCTTCCGTAGACAGATGACAAACTTCTGGTGGTATGAGTAGGACAGCACAGGTTGAGAGGAAAAACGAGATCCTTGGGGAAAGAGAGGAGAGTGTTTTGTGCTGTCCCAAGGAGACCTCCTAACTCCACTCCATGGAATACTGGTGAATACTGAGTCATTCACTCCTAATCTCTCTTCTCCAGCTTTTTTCCAGACTCCAATCACATCCACCACAAAGGAAAAATGAATTTGAGTTTTGAAGCTTGGGTTCTGTTCTTCATCCAAGGGAAAATTAACTAGAAGTGTCACTTCCGTATCCATCTCCCATGAGAGAAACTGCTTCTAGAAGGAAAAGCATCGGGGGGGGGGGGGGGGGGTTATTTAGAATCACAGAAAGGCGGGACGATAAGAGTAATGTAGTTGTCACTAATGCAGACAGTAAGGGATGTGATGCCACAAAAGTGACTTGTCTAAGGTCCACATACTTGTCTAAGGTCCACATAGGAATCAGGCTGGAGCCTCGCCAGGACTCAGGTCCCCTTACTACCAGTTCGCCTTTGAAGTTTCTCATCTGCACTCTTGCCCATTGATGCCCATGTAGCGCAGTACTATTCTTGTGGCATTTGAGGGACCCCGGGGCGGCGGGGGGGGGGGGGGGGGGGGGGGGGGCAATCTCAGGGTTTGTTTACACTGAGGTCCTGGCGAGCTATGAGAGAACAGCCGGCACCAGGATAAACACGCAAGCACTGACAAGGGCACAGATCTGATCAGATGGGTAGCCCTCAAACCCACCTGGCAGGGTCACCCCCCCACCGCCCCCCCCCACCCCCCGCCAGCGCCAGGTGCAGGACTTGCCCCTTGCCAGCAGAGGGCGCGCCGCCCCCAGGGAGCCGAGCGGCGGCCGCGCTGAGCCCGGCGTGTTCGGGGAGCTGCAGGCAAGCCGGTCGCGCCCCTACAGTTCGGCCACTCAGGGTGCAGGACCCGGCCAGGGAGGAGGAGGAGGAGGAGGAGGAGGGTGAGGAGCGGACCCCCATCGTGGGCCTGGGTAACAGAAGGGCAGGAGTGCTTCCTAGGAATTGCATCACGCTGCGCAACACTGCGCTCCCTGACTCCCCCAGAGCAAAATGTGTGTGTGAGGGGGAGGGCGAGGGCGGGGTGGTGGTGGTGGTGGTGGTGGTGGTGGTGGTAGTGGTGTGTGCGTGTGTATATGTGTGTGTATGTGCGTGCGTGCGCGCGTGCTCGCGCTCGCTTGTGTGTGTGTGTGTGTGTGTGTGTGTGTGTGTGTGTGTGCTGGGGGAGGGGAGTTAGAAGGAGCCCGGGAGAGAGGAAAAGCGAGACGCGCCCGGGCATAAAGCTCCGGGCACATGGAGAGATCCTTTGCACCGAACTGCACCGAGACGCAAGCCCCCAGCACCTCCCCGCCCTCCGCAGAGCGCCCGGCTAGTGCGAACCCTCCGAGTGGACCCCCTAACACCGGCCCTGCACCCTCCAGCCCCGCTCCAGCAGCGGCCGTGAGCTTTCCCTAGGACTGGCCCTGGCGGGGCGCCTAGAGCCCCAGTTGCATTGCTCCAGGAGAAAGGAGGGGGGCGGTGCATTTGCAGGAGGAGGAGAAGGGGGGTGGGTGGTGGGGGAGAGAGAAAATTGCGCGGAGACCTGCCAAGCGCCGCCGCCGCCGCCGCCGCCGCTGCTGCCGCCGCCGCCGCCGCCGCCGTCGCCGCCGCCGCCGCCGCCGCCGCCGCCGCCGCCGCCGCCGCCGCCGCCGCCGCCGCCTGTGAGCTCGGGCGGGCGGGCAGCCGGCCTGTCGGCTTCCCGGGACATCTCGGTCCAGCGGGGCACAGCCTTGGGCGCTGCCGTAGCCGCCGCCGACGCGAGTGCAGGCGGCTTCCCCGGGAGCCTGTGCCGCTCCGGCTCCTCGGCGGGGGTGGAGGAGTGGGGGGTGGGGTTGTTGTTGGGGGGGGAGCAGGGGGAGGGGGCAACGCCGAGAGAGTCTGTGGTTTCCATGGTGATGGAGCTGAAAGTGCAGGAAATTTAAAGGCTTGGACCCAGCGAGACAGACAAACCGGTGCCAACGTGCGCGGACGCCGCCGCCGCCGCCGCCGCTGGAGTCCGCCGGGCAGAGCCGGCCGCGGAGCCCGGAGCAGCCGGAGGGACGTGCCCCCAGGACCCGCTCGGCCAGCGGCGCCGCACCTAGCAGCAGCGGAGCGAGGGGCAGCGAGAGGAGGAGGAGGAGGAGGAGGAGGAGAAGGAGGAGGAGGAGGGGAGAGCGGCTCGTCCACGCGCCCAGCGCCGCCGCCGCCGCCGCCGGCTCGGGGAAGCAGCAGCGAGGAGCCGGCGCCCCTGCGCCCGCGGTCGCCCTGGAGGGATTTCGGATGCCCCGCCGCGGCCGCCGGCCCGAATAGACCCGCCGGGAGAGGAGTTGCTGCGGCGGCCAACTTGTGTGCCTTCTTCCCGCCCGGGCGGGAGCTGCCGGCGCCGCGCGAAGGGCTCTCCCGGCGCCTCATGCTGCCGGCCCTGCGCCTGCCCAGCCTCGGGTGAGCGGCGGCCGGAGGGCCGGGGAGCGCGGCGCCGCCTCCGCCGCGGGCTCGGCGTGCTCTCCCCCGGGGACGCGGAACGCAGCGGCGGCCGCCCCGGCGGCATGGAGCGCTGCCCCAGCCTGGGGGTCACCCTCTACGCCCTGGTGGTGGTCCTGGGGCTGCGGGCGGCCCCGGCCGGCGGCCAGCACTATCTGCACATCCGCCCAGCGCCCAGCGACAACCTGCCCCTGGTGGACCTCATCGAGCACCCGGACCCTATCTTTGACCCCAAGGAGAAGGATCTGAACGAGACGCTGCTGCGCTCGCTGCTCGGGGGCCACTACGACCCGGGCTTCATGGCCACCTCGCCCCCCGAGGACCGGCCCGGCGGCGGGGGCGGGGGCGGCGGGGGGTCGTCGGCCGGGAGCGCCGAGGACCTGGCCGAGCTGGACCAGCTGCTGAGGCAGCGGCCGTCGGGGGCCATGCCGAGCGAGATCAAAGGGCTGGAGTTCTCCGAGGGCTTGGCCCCGGGCAAGAAGCAGCGCCTGAGCAAGAAGCTGCGGAGGAAGCTGCAGATGTGGCTGTGGTCGCAGACCTTCTGCCCGGTGCTGTACGCCTGGAACGACCTGGGCAGCCGCTTCTGGCCGCGCTACGTGAAGGTGGGCAGCTGCTTCAGCAAGCGCTCGTGCTCCGTGCCCGAGGGCATGGTGTGCAAGCCGGCCAAGTCCGTGCACCTCACGGTGCTGCGGTGGCGCTGTCAGCGGCGCGGGGGCCAGCGCTGCGGCTGGATCCCCATCCAGTACCCCATCATCTCCGAATGCAAGTGCTCGTGCTAGAACTCGGGGGGGGGGGGGGCCCAGCCCGCACCCAGACACTTGATCGATCCCCACCGACGCCCCCTTTCTCCCCCCCCTCTCCCTTCCGCACCGTTACAACCAGTTCCACCACCACCACCCTCTCCGGAGGGAGATTCAATGAACTTTTTTTTTTTTTTTTTTTTTTTTTTGGCTACAGAGACCTAGCTTTCTGGTTCATGTAATGCACTGTTTAACTGTGTAGGAATGTATATCTGTGTGTATATATACGGTCCCAGTTTTAATTTACTTATTAAAAGGTCAGTATTATACGTTCAAAAGTTACCGGCTTCTACTGTATTTTTAAAAAAAATAATTAAGCAAAAGGAGAAAAAAAAAGAACAGAGAGAAAAGAGAGACTTATTCTGGTTGTTGCTAATAATGTTAACCTGCTATTTATATTCCAGGGCCCTTCGCATGGCGAAGCAGGGAGGGGGGGGAAAGTTATTTTTTTTTTTCCTTAAAGTACAAAGAGAGGGGAGAACTTTTGTAGAAGGACTTTGAAAAAAAAGCTATTTTCCATTCTTCGGAAAGTGTTTTTGGTTTTCCTTGGACCTCGGAGAAGCTATAGAGTTCAATGTTATTTTACAGTTATTGTAAATATAGAGAACAAATGGAATGACTAATCATTGTAAATTAAGAGTATCTGCTATTTATTCTTTATAATATCCCGTGTAGTAAAATGAGAAAGAAGTGCAGAGCAGGATTAAAGAAAACCACTAAAATCGACTGGCTCCACACTGCGATTCTCTATGTTGGTGATTGATGGGAGGGTGGGGGGTAAGGGGGGGGGCGGCGGGCAGGGGGTGCCGCTGTGCTTATGACGCCTGTGAGGGGAATGGGCTCATTCCCTCTCCGGGTGTGATGGAGGTGACCACTCAATTTTTCATGGTGGGGGGGGGGTGTTCCCGGCCCCTCACTAGAGCATCACGTGGCCTCCGCCCAGTCTCCCAGCTTTTTCTCCCTGTATCACCGAAGCCTGGGCCTGTCGTGACCTCGACACCCAGCCGGCCCCCTGGAGCTGACCCCAGGCTGGGCAGGGGGAGGGGGGAGGGTGGGAGGCCGCTTTGTCCTGCCTGACAGGCCCTTCACAATGGGGACACGTGTCTTTCACACCTACCCTAGGGGCGGAGTGCCGCTGAAACTTGACCCCCGAGGAATGGGGGGGAGAGATCAGAGCGCGCCCACCCAGATCCCACCACCCGTCCTGCCTCGCGCAACCCCCCCCCCCACCTCAATATTCAGCCCAGGTTAACCCTTTGCACGCCCGGAAATTACGATGGTAATTCCAAGATGAGGAATCCACACTCACAGCCTCCTCCTCCTCCCCACCCCACCCCCAAAATCCCAGGCCCTCAACCTTAATGTTTGGGAGATTTGACACTCCCCTCTCCCCACTCCCCCCCACTCCCCCCCCCCGCAGGACCTAAGGAAGACTCAGGGTTTCGGAAGGGTCCCAATTGGATTGGGGGGGGGGGGGGAAGCCATCACTAGGTCCTGCCATGGGGAACGGGGTGCACCCTTCTCCCCCTCCTCCCACCCCTCCCCCCCCCCCCCCCCCCCCCCCCGCACCCTAGCTCTGGATGCTGACTCCACTTGGAGGGTGGGGCGGGAGGAGAAATCAGAACCCAGGTCTTTGAGCTTCTGGGTTAGATTGGGGCAAAAGACGTGTTACCTCTTAAAGGGACCTGCAGAGCATCCCCCCGCACCCCCACCACCACCCCCTCCCTAAAGGAAGCCAACTCCTGGGGCGGGCGCTCGACTGCTCGCGTCCCTCCTCCTGAGTCCGCGGCGGCGCCCATCCGCGCGGCTCCACGTGGGCCTGACACCGCTGGGGCTCCCTGTATTTATCTTGGACCCCAAAGTGGCTCTCCTTTGCTACCTCTTTCCCCTTCCCCGCCCCTTCTTTCCCCCCCCCCCCCCCCCCCCCCACCTCGGAGTCCCGGCGAAGCTGCGCTAATTATTTCGGACCTGCGCCCCGTCCCCAGCGCGGCTTCCGTGCCCCCGCCCCGCCCGCCCGCCCGCCCGGTCCCCGCAGCCCGGGCGCTTTCTTCCCTCCCGAGGCAGCCTCGGCGGCTCCTCATTTCAATAGCCTGGCCCGCGAGCCGCAGCCCCCTCCCCGGCGGCGCTGCCTCCGTCCTGAGCCGCGGGACAGACGTGAGGGTATTCATTAACCGGGAGCCGGGGAATAACGGCATTATTCCCCCCGGAGAGGGCACCCTGCCCCCGCCGCTATCTGAGGCTTCATTGTAAAAGGATTAAAAGTTAAAGACCTCCATCTTATGATTCTTTCATTTAATCTTCCTGGCGCCTGGGAGACATGCTCGATGGATGATGGCTTTTAAAATATTCCCAATGTCGGCTACCTTAAGACTCCGAGCCGGGGCAAACAAACGTAATTTATTTCCAGAAGAAAGGGGATATTGAGATGTTTAAGTTTACGAACCAGCCGTCCCCCCTCCATGTATATTTGTGAAGGCCTGACAAATACCCAAATAATGTTTAAAAAAATCAGCCATTCATCACTTATGAATTTATGCAAAACTTTCTGTGCCCCGGGCCAATATTTTTTTAGACAAGAGTTTCACTTTTGCGAGAGGTGGAGGTGGAGGTGGTGGTGGGGAGCGGGGAGGGGGGAGGAGGGGGGTTGGCGGGGGGGGGGGGCGAAAAGCAAGAATTTTCATGCCTGGTAAACACGCGAATTATGCGAAGAGAGTTATTCCCAGCTGGGCGGGCAGCCAAAACTCCGAGAGCGCGCCGAGGCCAGCGCCCCCGCCCCCACGTTGGCAATGTCATTGGATTACAATGCGAGGTCTTCCCCCTCCGCGACGCCCCCTCCCTCCCTCCGCCCTCCCGCCCCTCCTCCCCACCCCTGCCCACTTGGAAAACCCGCTCTCTCGCAGCCGGCCAGCTTCTCGGCTTTCAGATCAGGAGCCGGTGTGAGCTAGGAGGACCCGGCTGGCTGCAGAGGTGACCCTGCCATAGACAGACCACCGGACAGACAGACTCCAAGGCCAGCGAGCGAGCGGAGCCACTCCAGACTGTGGAGGGGGGGGGGGGGGATCCAGCCGGACCCAGGCGGTCCCGGAAGAGAGCCTAGGAGGTGCTGGTTCCCCCAACACTGTGACTAATGCACAGCCGGTTCCGTCTCTATCATTATTAATGTTGATAATACTAATAATAGCATCCACACGGAAAGGAGTGGAGAGCTCTGGGCAGAGAGGCAAGAACACTGTCCTTTGCGGTCACCTAGTGCCTATCTCCTCCTGTGAGGAGGAGGAAAACGGATCTTGGTGTCTTCTGAGGCTTTGACAGCCTGTGTCCATGAATGTCTGCAGCTGCCCGGACCCTGCCTCCTCGAGATGGAGATTTATAACTCTTTCCTGGTGCAGACACATCCGCTTGTTCAAAATCCTGGAGGAGAGTAGCAAGGTGCCCACCTTCCCCGCCCTCCAGCCCTGATTGCAAGAATTCACTCATCAACCCTCTGCTTGTGGCTCTTCCTTTTGTTCCTTCCTTCCTTCCGCTCTTCCCACAGGCCCCACACTTCATGCACAAGCATACTGAGGCCAAATGTCCACGGAGAGCCAGCCCCCAGGGGGAGGGGAGTCTGGGAATGGGATCTGGTTGCCTGTTGAGATGGAGAAGGCCAGGGGTCCATTATCAGTCTTGCTGGTGAGACTCCTGGGAAAGAGGGTTGAAGTTTGGTGGCAGCTGCAGGAGGGGGCTGGCCCTGTATTAAGAGCTCTTAGCGGGGCGGGATGGGGACAGCAGGGGGAAGGCCCAGCCCATATTGGTATTTTGAAGGAGTGATTCATCCTTTTTCTTTAATGCTCTTGGAATGTCAGAGCTGGAAGGGGAGCTTAGATTCCAATGCCCACCCCTCCATTTACAGATGAGAAGACTGAGGCCTCAGGAGGGATTTGCTGAAGATCACTCTGATTAATGTGGCTGTGGTTCTCTGAGGGGTCTCCACGGCTAGCTTTTTCTGTATTCTTTTGTTTATCTTGGTATTGTTACTATTATTAATATTACTTTGGCCGGGGAGGGTTCTTTCCATAATTGACACAATGACCATTGATCATCCGAGGAGCTGATCAACCGTCCTGCTATCTCTAGTCACAAGCCAGCTTTTGAGGGTGTCTGGTCTGTCAAGCGCTGAGGTAGGCCCTTTACACCCATCTTCATCCAAGGTCTCTAAGTTTCCAAAGAAGGGAGCTGGAGCTCAGAGACAGTAAGCATCTTACCCAAAGCCACACAGTAAGTGATAGAGTTATCATTCGAAATTGGAGCCGATGCTACCACCTCTGCTTTTTCTGTAGCTCTGTAGAGATCCCCATTGGGAAGCCACACAGAACATTTCTGTACACTCCGTTATGTGCCAGGACCCTTCTCCCCCATGTCCTTCTGACTCCCCACCCCACCCCCTCCACAACACACACATAAGGAGTTTATAATGCAATGGAGGCGGTAAGAAATGAAGAGCAAGGTAAGTGACGAAAGAGAAGATAAACAAACCTGGGCCAGATGGGGAAGGCTCACTCCTGGACCAGGCAGCCAGGAAAGGCATCTGACTCAAGTCGCAAAGAACAAGTTGAATGTCAGCCTACCGTGGTGCGGATGTGACAGGAAAGGGCCTTTAGAGCGAAGAAGCAGAAGAGGTAAAGAATGTGGGTCCTTGGAAAACAGCTCAAGCAAACTTGAACATAGGATGGACCCAGGCCTACTAGATAACCAGAACAATGCTCAAAAACCATGGGATAAAGAAATAATTCCTTGGCAGTAGTGCTCAAATGGTGTTCCTGCCCTCTTCAAGAGCTCTCAATGGCTCCCTATTGCCTGAAATATAAAGTTTGGTGCCATTAGTTGGCTTCCGTAATTTGGCTTCAGCCTGCTTTTCAGATCTTATCGCCTGCTTTCACTTAGCTTGGGTCCATCCTATGTTAAAGTGTTTTTCTCATTTATCTTTATTGTTGAAAGCATTACAGATGTCCTCTTTTTTCCCCCCATTGACCCCCTTCACACCATACCTACCCCCCAGGACCTATGACATCGCCTCAAAAGCTCCAATATTGTCTCTACTTCAGTCTATTGGGTAAGCCAGTATCTACGACCAGTCCAAACTCAAGGAAAGGGAGTTAGACATCACCTCTCAATGGGAGCACACAGCATCAGAGGCCACCTTTAATCTATCACAAGCACTTTCTACGGGCCAGACCCTGTATTTTATACCCAGGCCCCAAAAATGAGCAGATACACTCTTTTTTCCATTCAAGTTTGGTGCTAGTGTCCAGGATGGATTGGAAATAGGATAGTGGCTCCTGGGATGTTAGGTGAGGAGGACCTGGCTGTGGTCCAGGAAGAGGCAGTAAGATGAATACTTGAGGAACATCAATGCCCATGAACACAAAGATCATTTGCCAGGAGCCTGGAAAGGACCTGGTGATTGATTGGGTATGGGGGCTGAAGGAGAGGTCAGAAAGGTCCCTGATGTTTCAGGCCTGCAAGGGAACATGCACAGAAGAGGAATCTCATACAAAAGAGCATCCTTCACCACTCACTACTTCTTACACACACACACACACACACACACACACACACACACACACACACACAAACAGGTTCTAGGCTTGTCCAGAAGAGGGAGGAATCTGAGAATCCTGCAGAAAATTTTAATTTATAATTGAGATGGATGGATGGATGGATGGATGGATGGTAGAGACAGCAAA